TGCCAACATTCAGTTATAATCATAGCGCCACCAGCTGGCAGCAGGAAGTTTGGCACATATAAATGACTTTGACATATTCCTCCGATATTTACCACTTTAAATGCATATTGCCCACTGTTTGCTGTTTTCCTAAAGCCACCGGGTGGCGGTGAGCCCGGGTGCGAGGGCCCTTTCATCGCTGCTTGCAGCTTTAATTTTAGTTTATTTTTCATTTTCGATGAAATTAAAACTTTAAATTTGGTTTCTGTGTTTGGGTAAAACATTTATTTTGGTGCATCACTACACACAATTGTGTTTAATTTAACAAGTGAATTACTCAATTTTGTTTTTTGTGAGTCGAGTGTCAAAAAAGAGAATTGGGCTAAATATCATTTCCAGTGCACACTGGAAATCAAGCTCATTTTGCATACTAAATCATCTTTTCTTTGGGAAATAGTTGATGTGACATTCTGAACGTGCTCTTTGTGTTAGTTAGTAATTGTAAATGAAATGCTTTAGATTTGTGTGAATAGTTCAGGATGTTGAAGTAGGACCAGTATAATCTGGCCTGGTTTTTAGCTGGTTTATTTACTGCATATCTGTCATATCTCAATGACACAGCCCAGTTAGCTCAGCTTTACCTCCACACACACACATATACAGGTCAACACTGTTTACACGGGGGTCTGTCACATGTTATTTTAACCCTGAGAGAGTTTATATATAACATCTCTACACATTCCCACAGGCTCCAGTTTAACATCGCCTTCGAGTCATGTTGAAATGATCATATTCATGAGACAAACTCAAGGTTTTCTGTCAGCCATGACTTTCCCAGTTAAGTACGTGTCAATTAAAAAAGCCTGGTGGAAGATCGTTGATATTCATCATAATAATGATTATGAGCTCTGCTCATTTAGCCAGTATTTGAAGCATCAGGCTTGTGTGACTCAACTGTATTTCCCATCATTCTGTGTGTTAGCATGAAAAGGCTTGCTGCACTTCTGATGTCTCTATTTTGTTGCACAAAAATCACCATAAATTCTGAACAAGTGGGATGTTTGTTTTTGGTTGAACAAAATCATTTACACTAATAGTTTATAGTTTAGCATTTTCAGTTTTATTCAATTTAATTTTTGCAAATTTTAGCAATGAATTTGTTACAACAGTTTTAGTTTTTCATGGACATGTCAGAATCAGTTCATTAACATTTTATATTTATTATAAAAATATTTGTGTTAGTTTATATTGTTAAAGAATCAGTTCATTAACATGTTATATATTTTATAGAAATTTTTATTTAATTCAAAATTTATATTTAATAATTGTATTTTATAGTTTTTTATGTTGTTAGCAATTATAATTAATCAGTTAATTAACATAATATATATTGGTATATATTATTTTACATTTATATCTTTATTATGTTATATATTTTTATTATGTTTATAATTTATCTATTTTAATAGCTAAAAGTGTTAAATATTTTTAAAAACATTTATATATATTTTTTAATTTCATATTTTAAGCAATTATAATTCATCAGTTCATGAGCATTTTGCATATATTTTGTTTTAGATTTTAGCTTTAGTAATTTTAGTTAAGGATTCACTTTTTCATGTATTTTTTTATTTTTTTTTAGTTTTAATAAGTATAGATAAGAATCACTTTATGATTTTTTTTATAAATGTATTTTAGTTTCATATTTCAGTTGTAGTAATTATAGGTGTAGTAATTATAGTTTAAAACAGCAGTTGAGTAGTCGGCATTGACAATTATTTACATTTAAATAAGCAAAACCTTGTGAATTTAAATATTTATTTACACTTTAATTGCGTTTACACAGACTTGTAAATGTATTAAAACAGTGTACAACTGAATCCCAAAGAGGAAACAATTCATAAACCCTATGAATTTGCACTTTAACTCCACATCGCCATCTGCAGGAGGGGAGTGTTTTAACACATGCACAGGGAACATTATTTGGCTGTTATATTATTAGTACTTTATTTAGGTTTAGTTTTACTCTTTAATTATTTTCAGTTCATAAAAAGTTTTATAACTCTTGAACTCATAATTATGATTTCCGAACTCGTAAGTAAGCATTTCCCAGGAGCGCTAACGTCTGCGGTGGATCGACGGTACCTCTGGCTTCATAAGCGGATACGACTGCAGAGATCAGTGGGACACTAAACAGCTCTCGGCATTCCCAAGACTTCCCAACCTTCCTGGGAATGTGGCGGCTCTGTCTGTAAATACCTGTTCTCACGCCTCATCTCCCAAACATTCAGTAAAAGTGTAGCTGAAGGAAGAAAGCAAACAGTGCCATGTGGAATTAGTCAGCGTGCTTCACTAATAGCATTAATAGTGCATAATTAGCCCCAGTGTGTGTGTACTTCATAATGATGGTTAATTACTCTGTCCTGCTGCCAGACTTTCAGCTATTTAACTGAAAGTGTGGTAGGCGTTTATTTATTAACACGCACTTGTTTTCTCGTCACCTGAAGTCAGAGCGCTCCAAAACTGTTGAGCAGAAGTTGAGTCAGAAAACTGCTGCCAAGAGCAAAGCCATGAAGAAAAGCACATTGTCTTCAAACTGGTGCTGCGATATGTTAGAAGTTTACTGAAAGTAGGGATGCACAGTATATATCACTACCATATGAGTTATTGTTCGATATTATAGGTTTTTTTGTTTGTTTATTGGAATCAGTCTACATTGGTTGTATGTTGTTCGATATTAGATATTATTTCATTTATTTATTTATTCATTTTTTAGAATTTTTATTTAGACATTTACCTTTGCATCACGTATTTAAAAATATAATAGTTAAATTGAATGTCATAATAATTAAACAATGCAAAATATTAAATGTTTAATAGAAAAACACTGTTAAATGTGATCTTTAGCAAATCCCAAATTAATGTACACATTTTTTTTTCATATTTTTACTTAATGTTACATAAAGAGTTAGACACTGACCTTTGCATCACACAATTAAAGCCAAAATAATTTAATATCAATTGAAAAATATTAGATGTTTAATAGAAACCACTCTTAAATCTTTAGCAAATCTCAAAATGAACATTCATTCATTCATTCATTCATTCATTCTTAGCATTTTTTGTTATGGAGTTTGACGTTTACTTTTGCATCACACATTTAAAACTATAATAATTTAATTACTATAAAACTATTAGATGTTTAATAGAGAAACACTGTGAAATGTAATCTTTAGATAATGTCAAAATGAATTTTTAGTTATGTTACATTCAGAGTAACATTTGCATCACTCATTTAAAATCTTTAATAATACACTCTAAAAAGTGCTGGGTTATTTCTGTAAACACATTTTTGGGTTAATTGTGCTGGGTCATAATTCTGGGTTGTTTGAGGTAATGTAAACACACAGTTGGGTTGCTCATGCTGGGTCAAATGGACTGTAAGGGGTTCTTTCACCACTGAACAGCTGGGTTGGGTTATTTTGACCCAACAGGTTTATTTATTTTTCCTCTTCATCGAACTTTCTGGATCCCAAGACTTCCCAACCTTCCTGGGAATGTGGCGGCTCTGTCTGTAAATACCTGTTCTCACGCCTCATCTCCCAAACATTCAGTAAAAGTGTAGCTGAAGGAAGAAAGCAAACAGTGCCATGTGGAATTAGTCAGCGTGCTTCACTAATAGCATTAATAGTGCATAATTAGCCCCAGTGTGTGTGTACTTCATAATGATGGTTAATTACTCTGTCCTGCTGCCAGACTTTCAGCTATTTAACTGAAAGTGTGGTAGGCGTTTATTTATTAACACGCACTTGTTTTCTCGTCACCTGAAGTCAGAGCGCTCCAAAACTGTTGAGCAGAAGTTGAGTCAGAAAACTGCTGCCAAGAGCAAAGCCATGAAGAAAAGCACATTGTCTTCAAACTGGTGCTGCGATATGTTAGAAGTTTACTGAAAGTAGGGATGCACAGTATATATCACTACCATATGAGTTATTGTTCGATATTATAGGTTTTTTTGTTTGTTTATTGGAATCAGTCTACATTGGTTGTATGTTGTTCGATATTAGATATTATTTCATTTATTTATTTATTCATTTTTTAGAATTTTTATTTAGACATTTACCTTTGCATCACGTATTTAAAAATGTAATAGTTAAATTGAATGTCATAATAATTAAACAATGCAAAATATTAAATGTTTAATAGAAAAACACTGTTAAATGTGATCTTTAGCAAATCCCAAATTAATGTACACATTTTTTTTTCATATTTTTACTTAATGTTACATAAAGAGTTAGACACTGACCTTTGCATCACACAATTAAAGCCAAAATAATTTAATATCAATTGAAAAATATTAGATGTTTAATAGAAACCACTCTTAAATCTTTAGCAAATCTCAAAATGAACATTCATTCATTCATTCATTCATTCATTCTTAGCATTTTTTGTTATGGAGTTTGACGTTTACTTTTGCATCACACATTTAAAACTATAATAATTTAATTACTATAAAACTATTAGATGTTTAATAGAGAAACACTGTGAAATGTAATCTTTAGATAATGTCAAAATGAATTTTTACATTCAGAGTATTCAGAGTAACATTTGCATCACTCATTTAAAATCTTTAATAATACACTCTAAAAAGTGCTCTGTAAACACATTTAAAATCTTTAATAATACACTCTAAAAAGTGCTGGGTTATTTCTGTAAACACATTTTTGGGTTAATTGTGCTGGGTCATAATTTTGGGTTGTTTGAGGTACTGTAAACACACAGTTGGGTTGCTCATGCTGGGTCAAATGGACTGTAGGGGTTCTTTCACCACTGAACAGCTGGGTTGGGTTATTTTGACCCAACAGGTTTATTCATCTTCATCCTTCATCGAACTTTCTGGATTCTTCACTCGTCTCGTCGTCAGACGGTCACGCACATCGCATTATAAGGTATAAGGTAAGTTAATATGATGCTATGATTATTTACCTCTATTTTTAATAAGTTGTGGTAAGAGCAATATATATATATATATATATATGTGTGTGTGTGTGTGTGTGTGTGTGCGCGTGTGCGCGCGTGCGTCCGTGCGCAAATTATTTAAACGCATGGAAATGCTATGAACTGCGTCAGAAATACGGGGTTAAGTTCAGTTACTGTCTGCGTACTGTATGGCTTTGTAATGTTTTGTCAGAATTAGACCATTTCGTTCTAAAATCGATCTTTTAAGGGCATATTTTTTTCAAGTAAATGTCTGCGACATGCCGAATCCGACGATAGATCCATCAAATTTATGTTGAGCATTTTCGCGCTCTTTTTTCCTCAGGTAACGTTATGCCCCTTACTTTTATAACGCTAAACCACGATATTACTGGTATGTAATATTATGTGTTACTTAAAGGTAATGTTGTTCTAGCTACAGTATGTAAAGTTAGACTTAATCTTTCGTGGTGTATGTATGAGGTCCTTTAATCTTCCCCTATTTTAGTGAATGCTTGTATTGCTTTACAACTAGGAGACCAGTATAAAAATTAAAAGAAAATGCACTCTGATTTTATTTTTTAACAGTGTCGATTCAGCCCTCCAGATTGGAGACTAGATTGACATAAACTCAATTCAGTGCTGAGATGGCTAGCTAGGGTTGCCTATGGCAACCGTTCTGTATAATGTGGAATCGTCATTTTAAAATCATAGCATGCAAGAACACCCTGTTTGACAAACGTTTTCTTAATCTGAAATTATATTCTAGGTATGTGAGATTCTTGCTGGTGCAGATGGACAAGGAATGGTGGCTTGACACCCTGGCTGACATCTTTAAAGGTTATATCTAACATGAGCCTCTCTTGTTTTCTTTCCTAACACGTGCTTACTCTCAAGCCCATGTAATATCTTAAACACTATTGGATTATGGTTGCATTTGTTTTTTGTTTTCAAATTTGATCAGATTTCACAGACTTTAGGAAGCTATATCCAGAGGCAGACAGAAAACTTTTTGAAGACTGGGCTACAATTGCAGACCGAATTCTTGCCTATGCCCAGCGAGATGGAAAGGTGCATTTAGAGCTGGGTGACATGACTCAAGGTAAGCTATTTCTTATAATATATCAATCTATAAAAACAAAATTCAACTGTATTTGACAAATATCAACTGGTAAAATCAATCGTAACACTTTAGTATAGGGACCAATTCTCACTTTTAACTAGTTGCTTATTAGCTTGTATATTGGCTGTTAATTCTGCATGATAATATTCTACATCCCTGAATTCTACCCCATACCTAAACTTAATCACTACAACAACGTTAAAACACAAAAGTCGTAGTTAATAGTGAATATGTGTTCCCCATACTAAAGTGTTACCAATGCAGCTTTGTTGTTTACCTTATCATTGAGAAACTTTTCACTAACGTTGGGCTGTTGCTTACCAGCCTGAAGCATTTGGGCCCTCCATAAACTAGCTCTAAAAATGCCACTAAATGGCTTATTATTATTATTAATGTTTGGTCTTTACTCCAGTATCCTTGCTATTATTTCTCCTCTTCCTCTCTGCTTTTCTTCGCTTGCTCTGTCTTGCCACTGTTGTAGTTCCAAACTTATGTCCTTCTTGCATAACCTATATTCAGCACAAAAACTCTTAGTAGTTCTCATGAATTTAGAAACCTGATGTTGGTATCCTCAGTCAGTTTACCATAATAAAAAAATATATATATTGTTTACATGTAAAGGCTGCGATTTTTTTTTTTCAATATTCTTTAAGATTAACCATGTGTAAATTCATCAGTCAACAGTATTTTGTCCTTCAAATTCCAGTGAACCATTTACAGTTTCAAAAACCCCGCCTTTTTTTCCCAGCATCACATAGATGTAATTTATCCCATCAGCATGGGGACCGTGGGGTGGGGGGCCTGCAGTGGTTGAATGGGGGTGGGGACTAATTTGCATATTCATGAAACTGCATGTACAGGTGCACAGGCGTAGTAACATCCAAGCTATTTAAAGGAATGAAGAAATTTTCACAGGAAAAAGTGTTTCAATGTGTCGTTTTGATTATGAGATCAGTTTCACAGTTTGCACTGTATTATTCTTATGGTTTAGATGCTAAAGGGGAGAGTGCTTTCAAAGTCCTGCCCACTCTGCTTGTGGCAATAATCAATTTTTGAGTGTTCTGATGATGCAGTGTTGACAAAGAATAGGAATCTACAGTGCCTAGTTTACACAATTTTGTGTTTTAAAGAAACTGATCTACAAAAACTTGTTTTATTTGTGTCTGTAAGGGTTGAATGAAATGTGTGACAGCATCCATTCAAAAATTGTTTTAAAAAGAAATGTGAAAACTCATTAAATTGATATTTACAGTAGCATTGTTGAGTAATTGTATTACAGAATAATAATAATAATTTTGCATTCCTTTGTGATCGTTATTTATTATTATTGGTAATATTGGTAAATATAAAGGTAGCAAGGCAATAAGACAACAAATAACCCAATGTTTAGGTAATGTTTAACCCAGCAACACAGTTAACCTTACCCACTGGTTGGGTCAAATAAACAACCCAGCATTCTGGGTAAAACGGTTAAACCCAGCACTTGGGTCAAAACAACCCAGCGCGTGTTCTGTCCCATAGTTACCCAGCAGCTGGGTTAAGGTTGGGTTATTTTTTAACCCAGCACTTTTTAGAGTGTAAAATGTAATATAAAATGTTATAATAATGAAAATAAAATGTAATATTAATGTTTAATGATTAATACTACTTGAGAAATAATAGTTAAAAATATGGTTAATAGAAAACACTGTTAAAAGTGATCTCTCATGTGAATCTCAGAATATTAATTTTTCATACTGAACATTATAATGTTTGAGGCCTAAATTCACTTGCAGCTTCTAAAAAAAATACTGTTATTGTTTTGTTTTTTATTACTTTAGACAAAATAGGGTAGAAGTACACCATCATAATTAATAATAAAAATAATTTATTTATTGACTTATTAGTATCGGGCAGAATTTTAATATTGTTCATCTCTGAACTACCTGAAAGAAAACACAGATTTTACAACACAAAATAAGTTTGCCAAGCTAGAAGCGCTTGCGTTCACAGGCCAGATCCAGTCCTTACACCAAGACCGCAAGCAAAACTCTTACTCTGATCCCCCCTAGGACCAGAAATGCCAAAAGAACTGATTTAGCAGGCC